CCAAAGTACATTATGTTCAGCTAGTCGAGTGTAATACACCAAGTTCCCCAAAGTACATTATGTTCAGCTAGTTGAGTGTAATACACCAAGTTCCCCAAAGTACATTATGTTCAGCTAGTTGAGTGTAATACACCAAGTTCCCCAAAGTACATTATGTTCAGCTAGTTGAGTGTAATAAACCAAGTTCCCCAAAGTACATTATGTTCAGCTAGTCGAGTGTAATACACCAAGTTCCCCAAAGTACATTATGTTCAGCTAGTCGTAGTGTAATACACCAAGTTCCCAAAGTACATTATGTTCAGCTAGTCGAGTGTAATACACCAAGTTCCCCAAAGTACATTATGTTCAGCTAGTTGAGTGTAATACACCAAGTTCCCCAAAGTACATTATGTTCAGCTAGTCGAGTGTAATACACCAAGTTCCCCAAAGTACATTATGTTCAGCTAGTTCAGTGTAATACACCAAGTTCCCCAAAGTACATTATGTTCAGCTAGTTCAGTGTAATACACCAAGTTCCCCAAAGTACATTATGTTCAGCTAGTTGAGTGTAATACACCAAGTTCCCCAAAGTACATTATGTTCAGCTAGTTGAGTGTAATACACCAAGCTCAGCCAGTTTCTGTACCACGGCCTAATTTTGGCACAACCAGTGTTACAAATTACAAGGTGTCCTTCGGTGCTGGGGTTTGCTGCTACAATACTTGATTGAAGGGACCCACTGAACTTTTTGGAGTTTTGGATCTCCCACCATCCCCATATCCTTCTACCCAAGCTGGCACAAGCCAACCCCCACCCCACATACCAACACCTCCCTTTCACCTCCCGCTGTCTGTAACCACTCACATTTCGACAACAACTATCAAATATACTCTGTAAAAGCCAGCATCAGACCAGCCCTGCCATTTGATAAAGAGTCGTAACAGCCCATGTGGGAGAAAGCTGAATCATGTCACAGATTGTATTGATCCACATGTCTAGTGCTATTGTAAGAAGGACAATTGTTAGCATATACCTTGACCTAGCTAGGCTTCCTGACCCACAACCTACGACAACCAGGGCTCGCTCCTCTACCACACAACCTACGACAACCAGGGCTTGCTCCTCTACTACACAACCTACGACAACCAGAGCTAGCTCCTCTACCACACAACCTACGACAACCAGGGCTCACTCCTCTATCACACAACCTACGACAACCAGAGCTCGCTCCTCTATCACACAACCTATGACAACCAGAGCTAGCTCCTCTACCACACAACCTACGACAACCAGGGCTCGCTCCTCTATCACACAACCCACGACAACCAGGGCTCACTCCTCTATCACACAACCTACGACAACCAGGCTGGCTCCTCTATCACACAACCCTATGACAAATCCAGAGCTCAGCTCCTCTATCACACACCCTCACAAGCTGGAGGCTCCTCTACGACAACCAGAGGCTCGGCTCCTCTATCACACAACAGCCCTCGACAACCAGGGCTCAGGCTCCTCTACCACACAACCTCTGACAACCAGAGCTCGCTCTCTACTACACAACCTATGACAACCAGAGCTGGCTCCTCTACTACACAACCTACGACAACCAGAGCTCGCTCCTCTACCACACAACCTACGACAACCAGAGCTCGCTCCTCTATCACACAACCTACGACAACCAGGGCTCACTCCTCTACCACACAACCAGGGCTCGCTCCTCTACCACATAACCAGGGCTCGCTCCTCTACCACACAACCTACAACAACCAGGGCACGCTCCTCTACCACACAACCTACGACAACCAGGGCTCCCTCCTCTACCACGCAACCCCGGCTCGCTCCTCTACCACCTAACCAGGGCTCGCTCCTCTACCACACAGCCTACGACAACCAGGGCTCGCTCCTCTACCACACAACCAGGGCTCGCTCCTCTACCACATAACCAGGGCTCGCTCCTCTACCACACAACCTACGACAACCAGCTCCTCTACCACACAACCTACGACAACCAGAGCTAGCTCCTCTACCAAACAACCTACGACAACAGTGGTACTAAATACCAGGGTACCGATCCACAAAGTGTTCATAACATTATGCTGTCGTAACTCCATAGGTTAATCATAGGCTTACGGATGTTGAACTAAGTGTTAGTCTACCATCTATGCTGAACTTTGAACATCACCAACCACATACAGTATTCATATTAAGCATGAAAGTCAAAGTGTCTTCATCACCAGATTGGAAGACCCCTTGATTCAAACACGATGGAATAAAACCTCAAGGGCATAGAACCTTGACTTTTAAACACTGCAAGGAAATATATTATTTATACCACATTCCAATAACTCACTGTCCTGACCCCATTAAAACATATCATATTTTAATCTATTCACCATATTCATCAGCAACAGGATCAGATTACAAATGCACAGACCACAGATGGTTAAGTTGTGAATATACTGGCTCTCTACAATACCATACAGTGAATGTGATCTCTCAGAAAACCCATTACATCATATTGATAAATATTTCACATATCTACATGGGTTCAAACCAAATATGTAGACAAATTAATAAACTATGTTTGAAACTGAAACTGAAATCAACGGGTCCTGTTGTTAAAGATGACAAATTGAGGACCTTGCATTGAAATATGATGGAACTGAACGACAGATCCATGAAGGAAATTTGACACTGTTACCAGTGATAAATGGGGAATCTAACCCATTTCATAACAAGCTAACACTTTAACCACAAGGCCATGTCATTAACCATTCAGGAGGTGAGGTGAGGTGAGGTGAGGTGAGGTGAGGTGAGGTCGGGGCGAGGCGAGGTGAAATTGGGTTTAACGTCGTGCTGGAGAATATTTCACTCATATGACGACGTGCCTGCGTGTGTATGTGTGTGCGGCTGCTTGTACTAGCCCAGACTTAAGCTGGTTTTATAGTGCTAGCCCACTGAGATATCATGCTGCAGTGAAACACGAATACCCCACTCAGACACATTATACTGACTCCGAGTCGACCAGTCCTTGTTGTACCCATTAATGCCGAGCGCCAGGCAGGGACCAACAAGTACCATATTTTAACGTCTTTTTGGTTTGACGCGGTCGGGGATCGAACCCGCGACCTTCCGCTCTCCGGGCGGACGCTCTAACCTCTACACCAAGAAGGTGGTCTAACCATTCAGGAACAGTGAGTGAGTATGGTTTTATATCGCTTTTAGCAATATTCCAGCAATATCACGTCGGGGGATACCAGAAATGGGCTTCGCACATTGTACCCATGTGGGGAATCGAACCCGGGTCTTCGGCGTGACGTACGAACGTTTTAACCACTAGGCTACACCACGGCCCCCATTCAGGAACAGATGATAACCATAAATGTTTGATAATATTCAACAATCTGAGAGAGAGTAAGTTTAGTGCTGTTTTGAACAATATTCCAGTTAGGCCACACAAAATATATGTCCGTTTCCGGTAACCCGACCGACCCAATCCTAACCCCCCGATCCTAAATCTTTTTTTAACCAAGTCAATATCATGACTGGAGTGCATTTCAACTCATCATTTTCATCCAAATCGAGTATGATATTTTCATGTTTTTCAGTGTACGTAGGGCTAAAATGAATTGCATTGAACTGGCATAATGGGTCCTCACTGACCAAATCTGCACATAAATAACATAAATAATGATTTGATATAGAAATCTTTCAATGTTTCATCATAAGGCATTGTCACTACATGATATGGTACTCTTGAAGACCTCAGGTGCCCACCTGGTGCCACTAAGAAATTTAAAAAAATAGGAAAAAAAAGAAGATAAAAACTTACCCACCTACCCTATTTTTAAAAAGCATGTAATAGGAAACGAAGATATTTTTTTTTGCCTTACCATGACGTTTTGGAGGAAAACCTAACGTGATGCAGGATGGTACCACTTCGGCAAAACCAACAAGCAAGGATATGGGGCTGACAAACCCAGAAACTCAATCGGGACAAACCAGGAATCGAACACAAGAAACATACATCTTTCAACAATGCCATTGACTTATGACAGCCAAAAAACACACTAAAATTCAACGGAAGATCCTGAAGATACAGCAAAATATAAACGCGTACTTAAACATCTCTCAACAACTTAAAACTTAATTACACCGAAATATTTAAACAAAGAACAGAACAATCCATATATCTAAAGCAGAGAGATGTATCCATTTCTCAACAATGATGGGATCGGATTTGCAGCACCAAGGAAGAGGATCCAGAAAGAGGATCCAGGAAGAGGATCCTGGATGGAACACCCAGGAAGACCGTTCTTGACTGTGAGCACACTGACCTATATATTAATGTGATACGCAAACAGAACCTATAACAATTCAGTGTATGAATATCTGCTGTTGAATAGGCTTCTTCCAGCAAGCTGTTCCTTTATCCTCCCTGATGCAGGTACCATCAGCATCCCTTCTCCAGTTACACCCCAGATTCCCAACTGATAATCCCACACCAGCCAAGATATGCTGCACCTCCCCACACACAAGCAGGCCTGTACTACCGCCCGGCTTTACATACCTTGTCAATGGAGAGTAGCTCAGTACCTCCAGTAAACTTATTCAGACTAACATTTTTATAGGATTAATCAATGGTAAGGGATCTCCTTGTTTAAATGGGCGGAGAATTTGACAGCTAACAATACCATTCTATTAAAAGTGTCCTTTCATTCATACCATGTACTTTGGCAGTTGTGGTGTTTACATAACAAAACCCTGACACAATAATCATGAATCGACTTCTACACAATCACATAGTATTCCTATATTGCAGTTTGTCCCGTACAACCGCAAGCGTAAAAGGAGTTGGGAAGATAGTGAAAGTGAGAATGGCTCACTCACTTCATCGAACAGAGATACCACACACACACAAACTCCTGAACTAGTTTCTTCACAGAAAAGAGTCACAATCTTCCCCCCCCTTCCACATAAAACATGGACAGAAAGTGAGAACAAACTGAAGGTGTACTTACATGAGTGAGTATGTAGCAGCTTATCCACAGCTAACACATCCCTGTGTCCTCTTCGTCTGCCACTGGAGTAGTAGTACACACACAGTAGAAGTCCAAGCAAGCGAGGAGCAGACTATGCAGGCTGAGCAGAGTAACCTTAGAGAGCCTTGTGAGCAGACGGGCTGGCAGGCAGGAGCAGACGGGCAGCAAGCAGGCAGACGGGCTGAGGCTAGGTTGCAGTGTGGTTGTACAGCAGGCTGGAGGATGGTCGGGGCAGGGGGGGTGTCTGACAGTCGTCCCTTAGATTCTCTAGACATGATATTCCGGTAGTCTGCTACCTCAATATACAGTGAATGAAGGAATGTGTGGTAACTGGAGAAAGTTAATATTCACCTGGTGAAGTCAGGTTTGAGTTTTGCTGCTGTGAGTTTTGCTCTGTGTGTATGACAGTGAGTTTTGGTTCTGCACTGTGTAACATACACTGGATACATCATGACAAAAATGTTAATTAATATTACAGAGTGTTCAAATTGGTAAAAATTTGAGACAGTCATATTCGACAAAATAAATGCTTTGCAGTAATCAGAATTTGAACTGAAAGAGAATCTGGGAACATCAGAATAATTCACATGGATCCACTGCTCGATAAAAAAAGTATGCAAAGCAATGGTTAACTTTCACAATAAAAAAGTTAAAACTAAAGTTAAAAACTAAATAATTTACTGAGATTCAAATACCATAGATGATCAGCAGCAATCTTTAATTTCAAAACTGAAATCCCTACAATATCATACAAAGGGATGAAAATTATCCCCTGCGATACTAATTATGTATCTGCTGCAAACCACAGATGCTGAATAGACTCAGATTAAAATCATAGACTTGAAAACTCTTCAGTCCAAAAAACCCATCCTAAAATAAGCATGAAGAGAGTCTTCCTCAAGTTAAACATAGCTTTTAGACCACTTGAATTGTTTCTTTGTGTTTTCATAAATGTGATTATCCACCTTGCTACACATCAAAAGATGTACCTAGGTCATTCAACAATATGAGAAGGGAATGCTAATGGTCATTCAAGCGGTCATATAAACATTTATTGCCTAGTCTCAAAAGACTTCCAATAAAATGGTAATTACTAGGTATGACTAATACGACATTTTGGTCTCTGGTAACCAATAGGAACCAGGGCCCCAGGCTTCTGTAGGTGCCCCAGGGGAGGTGTTTGATGTCTGTCAGTACAGTTCAGGCAGACTTTACACCCTCTCCCACCACCCTTCAATAAGAGTGACAGCAGGGAACCTACTTGAGGGGGATGTAAACCTGCTGTCAAGGTTGGGGAACTCCCCTGGGCTTGCTGGTAGGGAGATAATCAAAGTTATGTCATGGTTAGGGAGGAAGAATTTTGCCTCTTATCCCACCATTGTTTAGAGTAAGAATCAGTGTGTGAATGAAAGTATGTGGAGGGTGTACTATCCACTTGGTCATGGCAGACTGAGCCATCTTTTCCCTTTTTATTACATATCTGCTGACACTTTGCTATAAAAAATGAAACCAAAATAACGTATATGGGTATTTTTTGCCAATGCCTCAAGTTTGTAACAACATATCTTGATTAATGTTTAAAAACAATTCATCCAAAACAATAGCCGAATGGGTACAAATGCAACAAAAACATTTTACCATGCTGAGTAGAGCACTTCTTTTTTAACTTTTGAAAAATAAAAGAAACACAAAAAGAAAACTTTTCATACTCTGAGAAAAGTCCAAAAGATTTCTGGGATCCAGACCCAATCAGATAACAGGACTCATTCCTATTTAATTTACCTGTGACATTAGTCATAGTTTATGAAATATGATCACGCTAACTCTCTGAACTTGTAAGGTAGAATGACAGTTTGTCCAACACTGGTCCTGTGCCACAAAGTGATCTTATAGCTTCAGCCATCGCAAGTCTGTGTTAGAGTATGGGAATTACAGCTCCAGGACTGAAGATGCTTTGTGGGATGTAGTCTGTCTCACAGTCTCTGAAGCATTATTCAGTAATGCCTAGCCCTCCCTGCAATGCACACCTGTGAAGGTCCGGGTTAGAATATTGGCCTTCAGTAACCCATGCTTGTCCTATGAGGTGACTAACGGGAACGGGTGGTCTGGCTCGCTGACTTGGTTGACACATGTCATCGGTTTCCCAATTGCGCAGATCGATGCTCATGCTGTTGATCACTGGATTGTCTGGTCCAGACTCGATTATTTACAGACTGTCGCCATATAACTGGAATATTGCTAAGTGTTAGTCTATGTGAGACGAAGCCCCAGGAGTTCGATATCAAACATATCAAAAGAAAAAAATTGTGATTTTCAAGGTTTTTCCTGCACCTTATCGAAACACTTCCGGAAAGTTTTTCACAAATAATTCTAAACAATATGAATGGGATTTATTCAATGCAAACTGTTTTTGTAATCGTTTCTATGACAGGAGATTGCTATTTGACATGTGACACAGTATGACCATGAACATTAAAACTCATTGAAATGAATTTTGTTAGATAATTTAGTCAGCAACATTTTCTGAAACCTGAATCAGACTCCATGGCTACAGAAAATAGACCTTTATTTGTGTATGTATTTTCAGTGATAAAGCATCAGTCTAAGCTTAAAGTCTGCATTCAAACAAAACCTTTCTATGGGATTGTTCTAAGGTAATGGCTGGTAACGATTAGCCTTGAGGACACACTGGGCAGCTGGTACAGTATTTTGACACTGTAAATAGTGTTAGGTTTTAATCCCTGCCCAAGGCTCTGTGGTTTCCTGGGGCAAGGCATCCTACAGGCTTAATCTCACTGCAACGTTTATATAACTTCACATGTTGAGGAGTTTTAGTGTTTCACCAAGGAAGCTTTAGCAGCACCCTGAACTTGTTTGATATTAACACTTGGTGGTTTTTAGTTTAGTTTAGCTTTAGTTTCATGTTGAAGATAAGTGATATCCTGTGTTGTATTTCGTTAGAGTGAGTGAGTGAGTTTAGTTTTACACCGCACTCAGCAATATTCCAGCTGTATGGCGGTGGTCTGTAAATAATCGAGTCAGGACCAGACAATCCAGTAATCAACAACATGAGCATCGATCTGCTCAATTGGGAACCGATGACATGTGTCTTGTATTTGCAGGAAAAGGTCATTATCAACATATCACAATATTAGAGACTCGTCTTTTAATCTATGGACAGAGTGCATGATTAGAGATGGACGGTTTTACCGGTTAACCGGTAAACCGTGTTTTTTCCATGACCCTGTATGTACCGCGGAAGGTTGCAGAAAACCGGGTTTTTTCGTTCAAATAAAACACTATTTTCTCTTCACAAAGATATTTCTTAGCAAAATTTGTGATGTCACTAGTTTTTCTTTATATGGTTTCTTTAAAATGCTGCTATCCAATGTTGAGTGAATGAAGAAAATACTCGAATGAAAAGTACTGGCAATGGCATTGATGATTAACAGATATGTTGTTAACTTGTTGTTCAGTTTTGAAATTAATGTGGGCTTTTCTGCATTGTTCTGCACAGTGGGAAAGTTTTCATAGGTAGGCCAGAAGATGGTATTCCAGGAATCAATGATGCATTAAACGACCATCCTCCCCTTGAGGGAATCTGGGAGACTGGTAATGCTTGTGTAACAAGGCTGAAGACAATCTGATTGCTATTAACCATTCCGTACAATGACCGCAGCCAGTAATAACTTGTCCGATACTGTTGAATATTGCAACATGCAGCGATATAATTATCAGAGTGGTGCAATATGAAAATCTCTCTCACTGTACATTATAATACTAAACAGTGACTTTAATACCAGAAGAAAAAGAATTATATTCATTAAAAACTCTTTACCAAATTTATTTTGCATAATGGACATAGTGTCTCTATTTAGATTACATCAGGCTGTCACCAGTTATCTCCCCTAACATCTTAACATATTGTCCACACATAATGCTTGTGATTTTGTTGGTAATGACGTTTTCAGAAATATTCCAAGCCGTTTGTAAATGATTGAGTCTGGACCGAGAAAACAGTGATTATAGTCCGTTTGACTTCATTTGAGACCGATGAATTGCTCACTAACACAAAATCGAATAATTGCAACAAAACCAAATGTTGCACAGTCACATGAAATCGACAGACCAACTCTGATGATTTGTCTCTTAATTTTGGACACCTGAATAAAAAAGTTGTTTAACAAACGATCATACAAGGGCAGATCACTGACAAAAAAATTAAAATCACATATCAAAGTCATAAAAGGGTGTGATTTCAAATTGAATTACTGAAAAAAATATGGTAAAAAAATACAAAAATGTTTTATGTACGCCATTAAAATAACATAATTTGATTTGAGTACCAAACAAATGTTCATTTGCATCTCATGAACCACATGCACACTTCTGAATCCTAAACACCCTCTAATTAAATGGATCTTTAAATCCTGTGAAGCATATGGGGTAGGGGCTAAGACTGGATGTACTGTCACAATAACGTGTGAGAAATAAACACCACTAGAAGCATTCATATAATCATATATCCTTATCAAGAGATGTTGTTTTTTGTCAACACTGCGACCAACTCACGTAGTTCAGGAACTCCTTACACACAGGATGATAATACATTCCTGTGATGACATTCAGCTCTCTGGTAACCATCAACTGGTACTGAACACAATGTGTCACTTACCTGAAAATAAAACACAACATCATTAGACAATATGAAGTGAGTGAGTGAGTGAGTTTAGTTTTACGCCGCACTCAGCAATATTCCAAGCTATATGGTGGCGGTCTGTAAATAATCGAGTCTGGACCAGACAATCCAGTGATCAACAGCATGAGCATCGATCTGCGCAATTGGGAACCGATGACATGTGTCGACCAAGTCAGCAAGCCTGACCACCTGATCCCGCTAGTCGCCTTTTATGACAAGCATGGGTTGCTGAAGACCTATTCTACCCCGGATCTTCACGGGTCAGACACTATGAAGTATTATTCATGCTATGTCATGGAGAAAGCATAATTTCATCGAATAAAATCAAACTTGCATGAAAGTATCAAATAGATTGTTTTTGATTAGGTGATCAATCTTTGAAGTGTGAAGTCCCCACTCTCTAGAACAAACTTCCTTTTACTCTAAAGTCTGCACCCACTGTACAGGCTTTCCGCCGCCACCTTAAAACACATCTGTTCTCCTCAGAATGATGTGTCCTGGTACCAGAAACTGACATTACAA